CCATCAGAAGCTATACATATTTATTTCTCCTGTTTAAAAAGGAGTTCACAAAAACGTAAAATATCACAAAATAAGCACTTATTATATATGCATTACTATTAGTATTTGTATCGATAAACATACTTAATGTTGTCCCCACGTATTTTATGTCTGCTTTTAAAATCCAATATGGGTAACCCTCTACCCTAATGGATCACATTTACTGTCTCCACTATTATTGCTGCTTGTGCATTTGATTTGATCATATTTCTTAAAATACCAGTCTACGTTGTCTCGGGTCCATGAGCCTTCGTTTATCACGAGTTTATCACCGAGTCAATAATGCTTACTCAACACAATGAATATACTCGTGTTCCCTTGTGCAGATGTACCCAACTCGGCAGGATGACATTCTATGTAATACTGCTTTGCTCGGAAGGAATATTTGTTTAAGTCTGCACGCAAAGAACGGCAACATTCCTAAATCGTCTCTAATAGTGGACCCACAAATTTCTTTTTACAACTTACTAATTAGAATTGCAAAGAAAAGCAACAATTTAATGTACATTTAGGCGCTTTCCATTTTAAATTCTGCTTTAAACAATTCGTTTTTAACTTCAGGTGGCGCCTTTTATGATGCGTAAGCTTGATGCTAACGGCCAGGAGATCCCGAACGAATTTGAAGGATTCTGCATCGATTTGATAGAACTCATTGCGAAAATCTGCAATTTCACCTATCACATTCAGGAGGTTAAGGACAAAAATTACGGAGCATATGTAAATCGGTCTTGGAGCGGGATGATTGGCGAGCTTGTCCGACAGGTAAGTCTATTTTTAATCTTCAGCCTACACAAGGGCTTTGAAGTTTGAGCAAATCATTAAGACTATTTCCAACATAGTTGTTAGCAAAAGCGTCTCTAGGTTTAAGTTTTTTGAACTATAAGGCTCTAGAGCACAGTATCTCATCCCAATTTTGTGAGCTTTCATGCATTCCTGAAAGGCCATGTGCCTTAGTATTAAAAAACAGGTAGGCCTGTTTTCTGCCTCGGGAGGCTTAACAGTTGCTTAAAGTCAGACGACTTTCATGGAATACATGCAAATAACATAAACTTTGATTGAATATATAATAAGTAGTTTTACGCACATTTACTTTAACTAAGTTTCTCCGTATTTAGTTCTTCTTGCGGCTTATCAAGGCATCCTTTTTTATTTTTTACTAAAACATTTCTATACTACTTATTTGCCCAGTCAGCTTTCCACTTCATTCCGGCTGATTGGATGGGCCATTATTTGGACTTGATCATATACATAGAATCACATTCTGGTTAAGTATTGTAGTAGCTATGCAAGAGGTAAAGCATTGTCAAGTTGTGTGCATTTGTCTCTTTTTCACTGGGCCTAGGAGGCTGACATTGCAGTTGCACCCCTTACCATTACTTCGAGTCGTGAGCGCGTTGTTGATTTTTCCACACCCTTCATGGAGTTCGGCCTAAGCGTGATGTTCCAAAAGAGCGAGCGCCCAACACCGGCCATCTTCGAATTCACCACCCCACTCTCATATGAGATTTGGATGTGCATCATGTTGGCCTACCTTGGCGTCTCTGTGGTTCTCTTTCTGGTCAGTCGATTCTCGCCCCAAGAATGGGGCATGGCAGAGTTGAGTCGATCTGGCTCCTGTGTTGGGGCATACTCGTGCCAGGACTCGAGCCTCGGACCTGCTGTGCGGCCGGCTCAGCGGCAGACCGTCCAGGCGGCTTCAATCGGGCAAGAGCGGATGCACAGTCATACCGCGTTGCCTTCAGAGGGGTGTCCAGCCACCCTCGACGGCATGGGAGTTTCTGTATCGGCGTCGGCCACTGGGTTTCCGAGTGGCTGGCATCCGCCTCAGCCGACTGGGCCGAACGACAGGAAGTATGAAGGAGAGGCTCACGCGTCTAAACTCTGTCATGTTGGCAGCCTGGACGACGGTGCGACCACAAACGAGGACGATCTAAGCTCCGCGGAGGATAGCCAAGACATGGGAAACGTCTCGTTGATTGGTAAGCCGTATGGATTTAGTGGGAAAGAAGGTGGAATCTTCGGGAGGTGGTGATAATGATGTTACTGGTACATGTTTTCTGTCGCGAGCAATTTAGTATGCTCAGCTCCCAGCAGATCGAACTGCATTTTCACTTGTAATGCTGTAAGACTCTATGACTTGAGCAACTGTCTTTGTTAAGCTACATTCTGCATAGCATTAGTGCCACTGGCGATGATACTTGATGAGTCTTTTGCATTTGCTACGATCGCCAGAGAGGCTGAGGTGCGCCTAAGTGATCGGTTTTCGTTTCGGCACAAGACCCAATAGATTGAGACAATAGGACAAATGTCAGGCCATTTAAAAAGCAGTTATGTGATTGGGAAGAAATGTACAAAAAGTGGTGTTTTATGGAACGGCTTGGAGACTCTTAACTCAGGTGGAAGGGTGAGTTGTTGTGGCGAGAAGGTGAGGACTGCTGGTCTGGGGAAAGTAAAAACTCGGAACACTTAACTACTAACGCTTAATTTTTGATGGCAATGAATATATTTTTTTATTACCATTCCTTATTACCTATTTTTAATAGGGGGAAAATTTGCTTGGATCAAAGCACATCCAATTTAAAATATGTATTTTTTGTATGTAAGCAGAGTTTCGAAACTTACAGTGAATCAGTAATATGAGATGTATTCACCCTATTTTGCTTAAGGTGATGAAGGACTGGCAGTTGATTTTTCCCACAATGATATGAGTAGAGCTGACGTTTCCATTCAATTTCAGATAGCCTTGCTTTCCCAAAAGTTGTTCTCCTCCAGGGTGGACTGTAGTTTTGACCTCGCATCGGTCTTATCAACAACCCCAGCAGGTGTCGAACAATGATAGTTCAGAATGGGAGCTTGACACGTTAACCACTCGGCCACATTGACACAGGTGACCTTGGGTCGCAGGACAGATGTGAATTTCAAGGTAGGCTAGGCGTTTTGCCATTTCATATTCTTTGGTGGGATTGTCGATGAAGTAAACGTATATTTGCTATAACACTCGATTACGTTACTTATTTTTCGTATGTAAGTAGAGTTTTGAGACTACCAGTCTCATATTACTGATTTACTGGTAGTCTCAAAACTCTACTCACATACGAAAAATAAGTGACGCTGTCGATTTTTATAGCAAAAATACGTTTGCTTCATCAGCAATCCCACCAAAGAATGTGATATGGGAAAAGGCCTGGCCTTCCTTGAGATTCACATCTGCCCTGTGAACCAAGGGCACTTGTGGCAATGTGGCCGAGTGTTTAACGTGTCAAGCTCACATTCTGAACTGTCTTTTCGACTCCCGCTGGGGGCGTTGATAAGACCTGTGCGAGGTGGAAACTGTAGTCCACTTCTGTCTGGATGAGAACAACTTTTGGGACAGCAAGGCTATGCGAAATTTAATAGAGACGTCAACTCTACTCATAGTATTGTGGAAAAAATCAACTACCATTCCTTAATCACCTTAAACGAAATAGGGTGAATACATCTCACATTAAAATAGGTAGTATAAGCTGAAATACCTTTTATGCGCTCTAGCGTAATTCGATGCCATTCACGTGTGCCACGTTGTTGCGATGAGTTGGACTTGGGCTCCGTCACCACTGCTCCGTTTCACTGGCCCTGAAAGCCAACTCGATGTGGCCGATTGTTAAGACGGACTCATTTACTTATTGCCTACAGGAGACAGAGAATAGACTTGTCTAGCCGATGTTGGCAAATTTGCTCAACTTAGGTCTATCTGCGTCTGGCGGTGACTCTCTTCAGGGTCCAGCCTCGACTCGTCCGTCTCCGGCTCTACCAATTCCAGGCCGTTTAATGACTCTCACCTTTTGTCTCTTGCACGTAGGCGAGGAGGACACGGCTTCAGTCGACTGCCTGGACGGCCAACTCGATTTGGCCGAGCTGTTGAGGCCCAACCATTGTGCTGCCATGACGACGGTTGCCGAGGGTCTGCAGCCGGCGCAGCGACTCGTCACCCTGGCTGCACCAAAGGACCGTTGCTGTCAAGACAGTACGCAGTCGACGAGGCCAGCGGCAAAAGAGGCAGCTGGTGGTGGTGGAGACGGCGCGATAAGATGCGGATCGGCCGGTCTGGCGGAGACAACGAAGTCTGCAGGCCGGTTGGACAATGAGTTCTCCATCTTCAACAGCTTCTGGTTTGCGCTCAGTGCCTTTATGCAACAGGGCGGCGATATTGTGCCTCGGTAAGCCCCACACAGTGTGGACCCATTCGTCTACGGCTGGGAGCTGCGGGCATGGCCACTCTTGCGCCTCCTCGAGACGCATCTGCAAGACTTGAACCTGGGGAGCACCTTGGTGGGCAGATATAGTCCCTTTTGGGGGACCGGCTTATGTGGGCCGCGTGAAGAGGCAATATTGACCTTGTGGTCGAACAACTTAAGGGTTGGATTGCGGCTGTCCACTTCGGCCGGGTCCGCGTCTCTGGCAATGAGAGGGCGCAATTCCACTCGCCGGCCTTAACGGAGGAAATATGAAATTGTATGCCCAGATCACTTTCAGCTCGGTCCTTTCTTTCCGCTCCTCCTCTGTTCCAGCCCAGCTGAACTAGCCGCAAAATTGTTGTGGCTGGGTCTTGCGTGGATGAGAGACGAATGTGTGCAACACTGGTAGTAGTTACAACCATATTGTTTCCTATGAGGTTGCATGATGCTTTGACAGATGTGCTGAATTGTCAAGTAATAAAAATATTGAAAGTATAAGACCAAGATGGTGTGGCCTTTTTTGTGGTCGCAGTCTCCTTCCGTAGTATAGAAATTGTTTGACCTTGTTTTCGCAACTTGGTCATATTGGTGGGAAGACTAATAGGAAAGCACCTTGTCCTGAGTCCATTGTATGCGTAATTATTTCTTTTAAAGTCGGACCGTGGACGCGGTACATTCCCAGACGTTTCGCCGGCATCGTCAGTGA